TTAAATACCATTTCACTGCATACTTTAAATGCAATTGTAAATTAACTGCCTCGTTGGCCGAGTGGTCGCAAGTGCGGCAAGGGGTCTCGGGTTCGATACCCGGGTCAGGCAAAGTATTACAGGGTTTTTAAAAAATCTCAGTAATAGTAGATTAGAGTCTGGAAATGTGCCCGGTATATGGCAATAGGCTCACCCCCTATTACATGGGACTCATAACATAAATAGTGAAAAGTGGGTGTTACATTGTACAGTCGCATTAAGTGCCAAAATGTGCACCTCTGCCTACCCCTTCGGGGATAAAAAGGCGTAATGTTATGTATGTTATGTTATGTAAATTGTATAATAATTTTGTGTTTTTGAAAGCTTTTTACTGAAAGCGATTCAAATCGATGGTAAAATGTACTACATTTGTGTAGGTATTACGGTTAATTTATATCATTAGATTGTTAACTACTATTAGGTACTATGTAAACAACGGTGAACAGTAAATATTTTTAATTTTAGTTCTTTGTGGGATCAACAATTAAGAAAATAACTACTTCATATAAATTTTGAACGACATATTTATATCTGAAATCTGTAAACATAAAATTAAAAAGAACTAAAATTAGAATTATACTTTGAACAAATCTATCGTCTGATATTTCCCTTAGTAGCTGATAATTTTTAAATGTTAATTTGTATTTACTATAAAATAAATGTAACATTGTAATTAATAACTTCTTTGATTTTGCAGCTACCAGACATAGCTAATTCCAATACTACCTTCAATGTACCAACCTGCAAGGTACATTGTTGGTAGTATTGGCATTAGCTATACTTATGATTATCTGTAGACGTTAGTAAAAAAAAAAATATAATAGGATCCAATTTTCAGATGGCGTTTCAAATTGATTGGCATAAATTTTTGCCGAGTGGCAACTCTTATCCCCTATACTTATTATACTCTTTGATTCGCCCGTCGTCGCCAACAGGTGCAGAATATTTAGAAAGATTCAATAAATTGAGGTTAAATATAATCACAATGAAATATTTAAAGTAACCATGACATTCATCACAATTCAGACTAATTCGGTCGTTTTACTGTGCTAATAGATAATTGGCTACATATCATGTCATAGTTCTTGGCTCACCTTGTTATTGTGTTACAAGTGCTATCTATAACTAATCACTCGGGGCTTGGAACGAATTTAGCAGCAATTTTGCAGTTCTCCCGAGATTATAGTTAACGCAGATAATTATTAGAATTTAAAAATGGAGAATAGAATTAGATGTTATGAAGAAATATCATCTGAGACTTTTGATACAGAAAATGTGGTCACAGACTCTTCGTCTGATCAGGTAAACACCATTTGTTTGTATTTATGAAAAGAACAGGTTGGCCCTTTTCAATAAGATCAATAGTAATCCATGTATTCGGATACCAGGATCCAGGGTCAATTTGTAGCTCATGGACATAATTCGCACTTTGTAACTCTTTTATAACTTGTATTATTTATTTTATAGGTTGATGTTGAGTCAGTGATATTAAAAATCTACAAACAATTTGAAAAAAGCGCTGAAATAGAGCCAGAGTTCCCAGTAGTAAGAAAAAGAGTTCATTGTCAATTGTTGAAGGACTATCTCAGAACTTTACCACAGAAATATGAATGCCTAGATGCAAGCAGAACGTGGATTGTATACTGGGTCCTGCACTCATTGTGGTTACTTAATGATATGCCTGATGCAGAGACATTGTCTGATATAGTAAAGTTTTTGACTTTGTGTCAGCATGAAGAGGGTGGGTATGGAGGTGGTCCAGGACAGTACCCGCATCTAGGTACCACATATGCCGCTGTTAATGCCCTTAGCATAATAGGCACAGAGGAAGCATATAACTCTTTAGACAGAAGTAGTTTACAAAAGTTTTTATGGACTGTGAGAGACGTTGATGGATCATTTGCACTTCATAAAGGTGGGGAGCAAGATATTAGAGGAGCATACTGTGCTGTTAGTATTGCTAAAATTACAAACACATACACAGATGCTTTATTTGATAAGACAGCTGAATGGATAGTCAGCTGCCAGACATATGAAGGTGGATTTGCTGGATGTCCAGGCATGGAGGCACATGGAGGATATGCATTCTGTGGCATTGCATCTTTGGCTTTGTTGAATAAAACACATCTATGTGACATAGATGCACTATTAAGGTGGTGTGTAAATCGTCAGATGCGTTTAGAAGGTGGATTCCAAGGGAGAACAAATAAATTGGTGGATGGATGTTACTCATTTTGGCAAGGAGCTGCATTTCCAATAATCAGTGCTATCTTATCTCAAGGTAATTTATTTGATAACATTAGAACATAAAGAACTTTTCATTTATTTTTATGTAAAGTCATGCTAACGATAGTGTAAGAAAATAACTAGAAATAAATGTAAACAAGCAAATAATATCAATCCGTATATTTTCTTTTAAAAACACAGCCTGCATAGTAGATGGTCTGGTCTTTTGTCTATTGTGTGGGTTATGTAATTTTTTTAACTCGTCGAGTACTGGTTTTGTAGACACAAATAGAACAATAGGTTGCGGTCACCGGTGACCGCTTCGTATTTGACAGTTTAATAAGTAACTACAATAACACAACATACTTTTTCCTATTTACAGAAAATAAAGAATTGTTAGAAACAGTACTCTTCAATCAAGGTGCCTTACAAGAGTACATAATTATCTGCTGTCAAGCCTTGCCTGGAGGCGGCTTTATTGATAAACCTGGCAAGTAAGTCTGACAATTTAATTATTTGTGTAACTGTAACATGACATGACACTTTTTTGGCACAGAGTGTAATACATCTGTTGTAATTGTGAATATGCAGTTATTGTAATTATATTGTAAACACAATTTTGTTACACTAAATTATGAAATTAAATTTCAATAGTATTTAGTTCAACCAATCCAAATAAAACTTCTAATATTCAACTAATCATGCAGTATGTTGTTGATGTCATATCAAAGTATTATTATATACTTACCCTAGTTGTAGTTATATTTTATTTGCTAAGTAATTTTAACTTGTTTTTTCAGGCACCGAGATATTTATCACACTTGTTATGCTCTGAGTGGGCTGTCAGTGGCACAGCATGGCACAGGGGCTGGTGACCCCTTCATAGTCGGCCGACCCAGCAATGAACTCAACAGAATACACCCACTTTACAATGTTGCACCACATCTTGCCTATAATGCTGTCCACTACTTCATCAGACATCCACCACCAGTCAAAGATAAAAATTAAGTACCCAAAGTTATCCTAAAATTCTTTTGGCTTTCCAATCTTTCACACTATCCTTTCATGTTTATAATCTCTGTCGAAATGATTGTCTTTGATTCTTCACAGTTGTAATTTTAAATGTGCGGGGTATAATTATCTATTTCATTCCAATGTGTAGGAAAATAATTAATATGGCTTATGTATATATCGCCTGATTTAGTAACATTAACACTATTAACAGGCAAAAATAGTACATGATCACCAGGATTTAAACCCCATTTAAAACTATATCCTAATTTTGTACATCTTTCTCTCCTATTAGAGCAAATGATTTCCAAATAAATCAAAGTTGACCCAAAAATATGGCTAGTCCAGGGTGACGGGAGTTTCATGGTGCTACTATTTCTAACCCCAGGACTTGAAGCAAAGTATATATTTTTGGTAACAAAACTTGTGGTATCAAAGTATTTTCTGGTGATCATAATATCTCATTTAATATTGCAGGAAAACAATTTGCTTAAATTGATGTTTTAATTAGTTTTCCAATTAGTACCAGAGTAAATAATTATTACTAATTACTATACTTTTAAATATAATGAAATTATTTTTAAACAAATGCAATTTTATTAATGAAATAAAGTACTTGCGCTCCACATATTACATGTAAAAAATATTTTCAATAAGAAAAATCTGATTAAGGTATTTGTGATGGTACAATTATTTTGGGTGTACATAGTATTCTTATTTTATTATTAGTTTATTCCACATTTCCTTTGTGATTTTCTTGGTTAACTAAGTTCCTTGTACTGTCATATCCCTGCGGTATGTATAAAATATCCTTAAGGTTAGTAATAACTTTTGTGCAGTATAGAGTAATAAATAAAAAACTGTGTAAAATAATGAATTTTATTATTCCCTTTTATTGAAATGCAATAAATTTTTGCATCAGGTTTGCAAATTATACTAACTAAACTAGCTGTACATAGCATTATGGGTAGGTTTTTACACATTTATACATACATTGCCCAGGCCATAATTTCCTATCAATATGTTTTCCATAATAATTTATCATGAAATACTATTAACATTATATTTTTGCTGCATTTTGGTGTCTTTAAATATAAATGTTACATATCAATGGATTACTATTTGTATTTCACCTTAATCATAAGAACCCTAATAGTGATTTATTATACAATGTTGTCATTAACAATTCGTGTGATGATAAACTTTAAGTAGCTACATATTAGAATTACATCAATTTTTGGTAATGCAATACATACTCGATTTTGCTTTATTTCTGTTCACACTAACACAAACTCCTCAGATTCAATGTCTGTATCACTGTCTTGGATATTTGGTGTTACCCAGTTTTGCTCTGTTTCATAAATAGAGTTCCTAATATTAGGAAAGTTCATAACATTAGTACATGAGCCACTGTTTAGAGTGAAAATAGGATATTCAAAATTAGCAGAGACTCCCTGGGGGACTAGGAATGATTGTATAACATTGATAAATGTTTCCAAATCATTTTGTGTTGCCAGGTAGAAGCCTATGCAGCAAGAAGGGTCCATTTTGCTTAGAGGCATTTTTCTTGGTGATCTACAATGAAATGATTGTAAAGAAAAGTTAGGTTGCCAAACATCCACCATTTCTTGACAGTAATGAGGGTCTAAGTGGATCAATCTATCATCTTGGTATCCCACAAAATACAGTGAATGTTTGGGTCGTCCCCCAATAATGCCTATGCAAAAGTCTAATGTAAGTAATGATGTAAGACAGGGGCCATAAATAGGATTAAATTTATCAGACCCCAATTTTACAGGAACTAACAAAATAAGGGATTTCCAGGAACCGTTAGGTAGACGACAAAGTGAATAAACATCTTGAATATATATAGTTGAATCTTGAGCAACATAAACTTCCAAATTATCAAATTCATAATTTTCTTTTGAAGCTGCTGTCATAACTGCTTTCAGGCAGTGAGCAACAGATGCAGGTCCATACCAGTCTCCTGGCTTCTTCCCTAGAGCCTCCCCAAGACTCACCATCTGATGTATAGATAGAGGACTGTTAACTGACGACTTGTCACCAAACCATTTGATTATCATGCGGTGTAAACAATCCTCTTGAAATTCCCTGGCATTTTGTATAGCCCTCTCAGGAAACCACCTCCAAGAACGTCCAAGAAAGTGAGTCACTAGAGCTTGTGCTAACAACATTTGTCCACTTCGTAGCATGCAGCCCCAGCCACAGTCTGTGGTAAATGAGGAGCCTGACATGGTGGGAAATTCCCTTCTATATGTCATCCATATTTTGCTAATAAAATCAGATTTGAAGCCTTCTATGCCTTCTCCATATATCTGTTCAATTGGCTGATTAGCTGTTGCTTCAGTACCAACTTCAGTAGATGATTCTAATGATCCCGTAGGACTAAGTTTTCGATGATAGCACCTGCCAAGTAGCCATACAGGCGATTCCTTTGAAAAGCTGGTTTTTAGCTTCACAGTCCATCCAAATTTCACGTTATTCCACATGGATAAGAGGCGGGACTCAACCTTTCCTTTAAGGTCGAGTAGTTCCTCAGTGCCTCCATTTGAAGTTGTAGCTCCACTTTTATTTTTATCGACATTTATCGCTGATGCATTTTGCGTAATTCCGTTATCAGATGGCTTCAGTTCCGAGTTGTGTGTAACAATGCTACTCGACCCGTTCATTATATTACAGCATCGTATTTACTTTTCACTGTTGGAATTTTAATCCAATATTTGTTGACTGGTCAGCAGTTCGTTATGTCGATGTTATTATAAGGTTGTGTCCCCATAATATTACCACACGTCCTAATGCACTTTCAAATTAAAATTTGTGAACTGAATTGTTCATCACTACTAGTAAATTGGTGTTAATTTATTGATTAAACAAATGCAATTTCTATATTATTGAACAAAAACATTAGGGATAAAGAAAAATACACACGACAAATCACACAGACGACACACAATGACATTGACAGTATAATGTCACATTTCACACAATCATAGAGTTTGAGATTCACCACCCGACACTGGCAGCATAGTCGACAACATCGTATTGGAGACTCGGTTGCCAAAGAAGAGAAAAAAGAAAAAGAGTTTGAGATGGGGACATATCAACATAGATGTAATTTAAAATCATCTTTGCATTAAAATTGGTTTCACAGCACAGCAGCCACTGCATTGACAAGACATTTATTTAATGCTGGCAACATTAACGGCAGAAAACAGCGGTCTGGGGTCTGATTCGGGGCCCGGGGACGGTGGACGGTATGACGGTGAGTGGTAATGTGGTCAACAAACATATTATTATAATAACTCATAAATAGTGTGGTGTTTGTACTTTATGTACTAGATTGTTTATGTCTTTCAAAAAAACTTTCTTTGTACAATTTGTGTACTTATTAATGAAAATTAATGAGGAAGCCACAGGTCATAAGTACCGACCAAATAAAATTTAAAACTCACTTCTTCTTCATAGTTTGATAAAATTTGTATAGCTTTTTCTTCTATAGAAAATTACTTTACACTCGAAATACAGTCAGTCGAGCTCTATTTCGAATAATTAATTATTCTTTTGTATGTTTAATAAACTTCTTGTTTTATTCCCTTAAATTCCGATCAAGTACATTTTTTTACATAAAAACGATTCGTAAAACACGCTCGATTAAATCTGATGATATTCAACGTAATTTCCGGTAATTTCATTGAGTTTTGCTATGCTTGTTAATTCATTAATTAATTAAACATCTGTCGTCTTCTTAAGTAGACAAACTATAACTGTGTGTTCCGACTTTTAGTCTTTGGTAACTGATATGGTTTTTTGCTATTTTTTGTTTTGAGTTTGACAGATCGACGCTTTCTCTCCCTTAGGGTATATATGTTCTGTGCTTTCTCTATTCTACGTCAAGGTGATTGTGTGTATAGTTTAAACGCTAAAAATAAACAATAACAATTTAAATTTAATTTTGCGATTGTGATAAGTGAAATCCGTGAATAATTTATTATAATATATAAGATAGTATAATACAGCTCGCCTGATAGTTCTCAAACCTATAAGCTTAATGATGTCGGAAAGTAAATTAAATAATGTAATGAAAATAGATGAATATAACGCAATTGTTAATGACTTCAATAAACTGACATCATACAGCCGAAAATCTGAAAATGAACTAAAAAAGAAATATAAACAGTTAGTACTTGAGACCTTGGATTTATTTTACTAATCAACTTTGTTCCATGTGGCTAACCATTTATTGATTTTCAGTTTACCACAATCTACTTTGGGTAGCATAATATCGTCATTAGTTCAGAGATCAATGAAACATAGTTACAGAAAATCTCCACAAATATCCAGTAAATATCATGAATTCTATGAAGGACTAATGCGGGACAAAAGTAAAGAAAATGTTATTTTACAGTAAGTGTTGTTTATGCTATATTGACTAACTTAATATTGATGTGATTATTTGTAAAGGTATTTTGCAATCTTTCTGTCTACCCCAATGAGAAACAGTATGGCAACATGATTAGGTTTTATTAAAATTAAATAATGATTTGTTATAACAGGCTCTCAGATTGTCAAGGAATAAGCCCTGCATTGTTTGCAAGATCTCTCTTACAAGGTGTATATTCCGATTCGTCGTTAGCCAAGAAATGCATCAAAGATACAACTTTAATAGAAGAGAAGGACTTGGCTTACCAAGTCTTTATGGTATGTTTCCCTTACCACAATGATAGTAATATTACATGAAAACCAGTTACTTATTAAATCTTTTGACTTCATAATTTGTATGATGTTGAAATTAAGTTTCTGTATAATATAGATTATTTTTTACAGGGAATTATGAATGACAACCAATATGGACCCTATGCAGATATAATAAAACAGTAAGATTACTCATTTTAAATTGTAACCAGTTAGTTAATTATTTACATACCTACTTCTAGGTTTAGTAATAATAAAAATTGTTGTTACAGGTCTATTGGATTAGAATATGAACTGAGATTGGAGAGGGAATTAAGACTAATGAACATCACATTTTCTGATGAAAGTGTTTTGAGGTCTCGTGGATATGATAAAACTCCAGATTTTAAGCTGGATGTACCCATTGCTGTTGATGGTTTCATTGTGAACTGGGTGGAGAGTAAAGCACTATTTGGAGATGAAGAAAATCACTCTGGGTATTTAAAGGAACAGCTTACTTGCTACTGGAATAGATTCGGGCCAGGCCTAGTTATATACTGGTTTGGATACTTAGAAACATTGGAT